CCTGCTCAGACCAGTCATACTCGGTCATATTCAACGCTGCCTGGTGCGGGTGAAACAGGAGACCCTGACACGAGTAGAGCAAAACAAACATACTCACACCAATGTTGGTATGTTCTGAACAATAGGAGACCCCAAGCTAGGAATCGCACCAATTAAAGACCCTGATCTGGTTCCCACAAAGATAGACATGCAAGATCCAAAGCCTCGCTGTCTCGCAAAAAGAAGCCTTTCCTTCCACTCCCGTCTGCATCGGCATTTGTGGAGTACCATTTCAGTAGTTGAGAACATGACGATATACCCCAAACACTCCATATGTTGCCTATTAGGGTGGTTGACCAGGGGTCAATGCCGGATATTCTATATATACATGGATGATCTGGGTAACCTCATATACCATTCATAGACCAAGGGACCCAGAACTGCTCCAAGGACCTCGAAAGCCGTATGTTGAGAGAGGTGCCAGTGTCCCAGCTTTCCAGTTTGTTTGTCCCGCATTCTTTCCTCAGAACAGGTTCCAGAAACTAAGATGAGACCGCTCCAACCAACTGCCACACACATGGAACCTGAAAATGGACCTTTGGATTTGGTAGACTAGCTTCCTCCACAAACCAATGGTTTTAGGTTCCGTGTGGGTCTCTTCCAGGGCGTAGCAGCTGCAAAACGAACAACTCTCCCATTGGCTTCGCTAGTGTCATCAACTTTAGTCACATGACGTGACTGGAAAAGTGTTTAGCACACACACAGTCACCTCTTCCTATGCTTGAAGTAAGAACCCTAATAGCTCTCCCAATAGCTCTCACTATCTGTGGAGAACAGGTTGCCCAAGTGCACAGCATCGCAAACCAATGGAATAGCTAGACCATGTGCGTGTTGTGTGTCCTCAAAAACTCTCAAACCGCATGGTGCCCAATGAACACCCATGCGACTTCCCGAAGAGCTTTCTTGCCGCGTTCCGAACACTTGGTGCAAACTGATGCAACTAACGTAATCAAATGAGTAATCCTGATCCTCAAGTCAATTGATGAGACAACAGAAATCTACCGGGATCATACCGGATTCTACCCCATGCAACATGGCATTTTTTTGCTTTGCAAAGGCTCAAAGAGCTGGAGAACCCTACAATACTCATGGATCTCCAGTGGATGTCCAGGGGATCTCCAGTCCACACGGTCCCATCTTGAAGACTCCCGGGTCCCGTAGATCAACTACTACCACACATGATGAAGACAGGTTCCTGCGCCGCCACTGGGCCCTTCTCACTAGCCGTACGGCCCCTTTTTTCACTGCCGTGCTGTTCACAAACAAGTCTAAGGAGCGCGTGCAAAGCTTAGGGTACGACATCATGTAGTAATGACAATATGGGGGAACCAACCAAGTAATCAACAAAATCTATATTCATCTCATGCCATAGCCCTTTAGATCCTTTAAGTTACCTCTCTGTCGCCAACTAGTTCCCAAGAATTCACTCGATGCTCAAGAACAACTCGCTCATCTAACAATGTAACAACGATGATGTACCTTTCTGGAGTTCAGTGACCTTTTAAAGGCCTAAGTGGCCTCAAACCAACGGACCAAGTTTGGTCACTTGGAAGAACCAGGTATATAAGTTCAATTTCACCGATGTGCTGCATGGATTGTTCCAGTCACTGGAACTGGTCAAGCAGCGTCAAACCCCATCAAATGACCTGCAACCCCTGAAACACTGCACGTCACCTTCCGCATCTGTTCTGCTGATCATTTGCTGTGATCCAGTAGTGAGTAGCCCACCGGCCTTCTTAAACTGAAGTACATCGAATCATAAGGAGAAATGATCGACACCAATCCGCACCTGTATAATATATTTTATAAATCAGCACCCGCCATCGACGAAACTGTTTGATTTTCCAGTGACCAGGTCGACACGACACTCTGGGGAGAGCGTTTCCCAAGTGAGAGCGAGAAGAAGAAGACTCCACTCCATTGATCCGACCAAGTCCGGATTGAATTCGAAGAGGTCCAATATCCATGGAATTGAAGGTCCAGTGACCCCGGGACAGCTGATTGGATCGCGGTTAGAATTTGGACTCTGCTGAATGACCATGGACGAAACAAGGGGCCGGGGAAAGGATTAGACTACAGCAGTTGCTGCACACTCACCTCAATTGTATGAACATTAAAAGATGTTACTGTTAAAAGCCTGTGCTAAGAGAAGAAGCCAAATTTACAGCCTTCTACCCTTGTCGGTCACCTATCTTCGACTGGCCGGGATGGGCGGTTAGCATCAACCTGGTCAGCCGTCAGGGTCCACCCTGGAATAGATCTGGGTACCGGCTTCTGTGATGTCCGTTGACCTCTCAGGATCAATGACCAGCAGAAGAGGCCCTACTGAGTCCAGCAGAACACCGGAAGCAATCTGACATGAGTGACCGCTTCTTCCACAGAATGTGCTTGAAAAACATGTGCGAAAGCAAAAAGTATCTCCATGCACTTGATTCTGATTCACACATGAACACTTTTCTTAAGCCAATACTACAGACCGATTGGTGGAAAACGTCTTTTAGAATAGAAGGGCTGGTTACCGCCTTTGATCCTTTGAGATCCAGCTACGAGAGGAGAAAAGAGAACAGTTGAAAAGTACGACCAAACCATCCCAGGCAAGCCGAATTCACCAGTGGGCTTGTATTAAAGTAGCGAGACCTGCCAAAGACCCCCTAAACAGAGAAGAGAATTAGAACAAAACCATTGGTTGGGGACTCCCTGTTGAAATGCACATCCATCCCAAAAAGGATCAAACCTAGACCTGGGGTCAATGGAACAACCGAACCGTGTTGGCGTAGCAAACAGCATCTAGAAAATGCACAGCTTTATATAGGAGCTATGTCAATATTCAACCGCAGTAGGTGGGACCATCATGTTGATGGTTCATTGATATGCACAGTCAGTTATAATCCAATTATTCCCAAATACGTATCAAATTTCACGAGGTCCTGGTTCCCAGGGCCTGTTTGTTATTTTAACCACCGCAGCTTGCATGCATACATATGTTTGATTGAACTGTGGGTACAGTGCGTTTTGTTCTGATATATTTCTGTATCTTATCATGGTAACATATTTTGAACGTCATAGGTGCCAAAACTTTGTCGAATTTCAATCTGAGGCTTTGAGAGACCCAGGACCAAAGATGTTTGCAACACCACATCAAACACAGGGAGAAAACAATCCATGCGCAGCCTCCGGCAGTGCGAAAGTTACACTATAAACTTCGAAGTATCCGGACGTATCCGGACGTCGTGGGGTGAACATACCACCAGACGTATAGTTGTGGCCAGGTGGGATAACCTGGTGGAACCAAGTGGAACGAAGTGGAACCAAATGGAACTAAGTGGAACCAAGCGGAACTATGTGGAACCAAGTGGAACTAAGTGGAACCAAGTGGAACCAAGTGGAACGAAGTGGAACCAAGTGGAACTAAGTGGAACCAAGTGGAACTAAGCGGAAACCATATTTATGTAGCCCACATAGCAGTGGAAACCACAACTAACTGAAAGCAATGCACATGGTTTCCACTGCTATGTGGGCTACATAGATAAGGTTTCCACTTAGTTCCACTTGGTTCCACACTTGGTTCCACTGTGTTCAATTGTTTGTTTGACAAAGTGAAGGGAAAACACAGATTCACTTAGTTCCACTTGGTTCCACTTAGTTCCGCTGGGTTCCACAGAGTTCCACTTGGTTCCACGTAGTTCCAGTTGATTCCACTTGGTTCCACTTAGGACTTAGTTTCTTTGATTTGACTTGTTTACACTTTACACCGCACTGCATCACTTGTCACTGACGAGTGTTCTGTGATGTTCTGTGCATGTAAGGCATGTATGCTGTATGCATGTATGTTGTTTTAATTGTTTTGCTGTTTGCTGTTTGTCCCACATCTTGGGGTGAACTTCCAACTCCAGCACGCCACTCAAACAATATGCGCAGCCTCCGGACGTCGAAATCCACACCAACACCCACCATATCCCTGTTCTTGATTTAATGTTATATTTTTTTTCAATATGGTTGGAACGGGGATGCCCCCTTTGCTCGCGAAATTTGATACAAATACGTACTTCAAACGATGAAGGGTATTGTACATACCCTGGGTATATCCCATTCGGTTGCAGGCCCTGCCATCTCAAAACATTGTGATCAACTATTACCAGTCGTAGTGGATGATGGTTAATCAAGGCCTTTCCATCTCAAAACATGTAAAGGTATATTGTATTGTATATAATACAGTATAAATGAACAACAATCATGTCCAGTTTGCACTTGCCTAGGTTATTGAACACTGCTGCTGTTGCTGGTTTTACCCACGGCACCCGTTTTGAACGTGCAGCGTGCCCGCAGTAGGACGTGTTTCCCCCGGTCTTCCTGGACGGTCCGTTGGTCCGTCCCAAAGAGTATATGGCTATGCAATGCTATGCATTCTGACGTGACACCAGACTGTCCCTTCCTGATGGATCTCAAAGAGGTTATGCATGAGAGAGGGTCACTGGGATATCTACAAAGCTTTCTGCAGATCACATTCATGTGCTGCATCCGGTGCTCTCGGTTCAAACGCCAGAGAATGTCACTGACAGGTTTACCCTCCAAGTAATCTCAACCTAAGATCCTCCATGAACCATCCCAAGCGAGTCTGCTACGACTCTTCAAGCCTCTTCAAATCCGACATGACTGTATTGCAAGGGGGGAGACCTCCCAGTTCGACCCCTGGAAGAAGGAAAATAGACAAGTCAACTCATTGGTTGGGTGTCTCCTTTCTTGCTTTTTTCAGTTCCCACATGTTGGGGAACCCCTTTCTCACCCCTCGTCTTGGATCGACTTGCCAACAAACAATGCTGTAGAAGTGGACCGAAAAGGTCACTCCCCTGCCACTGCCGGTCATCCTTTCGGGGTGCCATCCAGTCCGGTCGACCAGTCCGGTCGATAGGCCAGTCCTGTGGATGGTCTGGGGAATGCATCTGGTCAATTTGTGTGAGTCTGAAAGATCTACCTCCATCGGCGATGGCAGAGGGCAAGCTTGAGACCTTGTCATCTCTGTTCCCTACCCTGTCAGTGCCGCATCAGCAACAGCAACAGCAGCAATTGTTGCCGCCAAAACCTGGGATTTCGGACGGATTTCGAATCCACAGGACTCACATCCACGAGACTTGACTCTCACCCTCTACGGTCTATAGCACTCTGAGGTTTCACATCGCATCCTCTGAGGTCTATAGCTCTTGGACACTGCCACTGCGGGGTCGCTTGGATCGCCGTGACCACTTCCCGAATTCGACGATGACGGCGACTGCCTGGGGTCGACGGGTGTCCAACCCCAAAGAACAGGGACCCTTCTGCTGGGATCGCCTTCTGCTGGGACCCTCTAAACTACATCCAGCTCCCCGACCACCTGAGAAGAGAGGGTATGGGTCCAAATCCGACACCGTCCCTATTTGATCAGTGCATTCGAGATCCGAAGTACATCCCTCCAGAGCTTTGTCCTAGTGGGTGAAATGGTTTCATGTCGTTGTTCTACTAGTATAAAAACGCGTTGCATGACCACCGGCGTGTGGGTGTAAAGATTTGACAACAGGATCGACTATCTGCTTCTTGGGACGTGAGCCACTGTGAGTTGTTGTTAGGTAAGGCTTCTTGGAACTGCCAAGAATGGTGTGAGATCCGCAGAATTCAACCAGGTGTGAGCCATGCAAGTCAAGTACCCGTGGCTATTCTCGCCCTCCCTTTCACTACCTTTCAATATCTTTCAAGACCCTGCTATATAAGCTATTCTCATGCAACACTTCACCATCCTCACTCTCGTACCTGCCCACTCAAACTCACCCAAGCCACATGGAATTCGCCATGGTCCCCCTACAACCACAACCACAACCACACCAGCCCTACGGCTCTACCATCTCCCACCATACAACGCCGCAGACTCAACAACCCCAACTCTCGCTCCTATCCGAGCCACAACCCATCTCCTCAGCAGCCACGGCCTCCACAACACCCAAGGCGTCCTCCTCGGCCTTGGGGTTCGGGTCGTTGAAGAACCTCATGACTCGTGTCGGCACGGCGTGCCGCCGGTCGCGGGGGCGCAACCCTTGGCGGGGCACCGTGGGGGCGGCTGGTGCGATGAAAGCAATGAGGGTGGCTGGATCCTGTTCAGATCTGTTCGGCATCGGATTTCGGAGTCTGTCAGTCCATTTATTCTTGACGAGCCGCACCAGTAAGACAAGGGGCACGGGCCGGCAAGGGTTTGGTTTAATTCTGCTTGAACTGCAAATGAACCTTCCATCCCAACATTGAAGCTGACGATTCTGGATTCTGATCCACCGTCTCGTGTAGTCCTGCGGCGTGAGACTGGTCCAAAGGCTGACACCCAAACTCCAATGTCCCATCTTTTCCCCAAACAAAGGAAAGGTGCTACCAACATATAGGATCAGTATACTGCTTGCCCCTACCACCGGACAGCCATGGGTTTACCCGGCCTGAGGAGAGAATCCATGGTTTGTCAGATGTTCTGTTGGAACGGCCTCTCCTCACCGATCAAACAAAATTACCTTCCTGGACCTTCAAGGGGTGTCCTGTCTGGAGGTCCCTTAGTGGTATAGGGGCTTCCATTGGTGACCCCTTTGATGGTGCTGGTTTGCACATCGGAGCCGCAAAAGCCCCCTTTGCACATCATGGGTTCGCATCGTTTGCACGTTTTTCCGGGGGGATAGCACGTTCAGATCCTCTCGCTGGGAACTTGCCACACAGCGAGTCATGAAGGCGTTCGTGAGTCAGGGGAAGGCTGGAACCGCCGCGATGAGGTTTAAAATTCGTGGCAAGGGATCAACCCCTTCTAACCAACAGTCTGTGTTCCAACTCACATTCATGACTGTGTATGAGTATTCCTGATGTTCCTGTATGTGGTTGGGACTGAGATAGGCTACAGCAAGTCCCTTGTCTTCGAGTCATTCCCTAGCACCATGTGGGTAGGCTTCTTCCAAGTGGGCGTTCACAGCAACGCCTCTTCGCTCGCGCGAAAGCTTCGCCCAAACTTTCGAGACAGAATCGTGAAGAACTCAATGGGCTTTGGTGGCAGAATTGTTAAACAAAGCTATAGGTGCCTAAATACATGACATTGGATCGAACACGGTTGCGTATTCCAGAAAACACGTCAGGCTAACCCAATGTGCACCACATGAAAGACTCTCAATGAACAAGAACCTGTTGATCAGTACCTCTGCCATCACAACCCCAAGCAGAAAGTGATCCAAACTTAAACATGTTTGTTCACTTCTTCCACTGAAAACCCAAACCCGCCCGGCACCCATCCCGAAAACAATTGAAGCCGTCCTACTCCGCCACTTGAAGCCCGTGCTGAAAAGATGCAAGAAGTCCATGTAAATGGTGAAGGAGAGCAGGAGCGCCTTCCACGCAGGATCCTGTGCGGAAGAAACTTCAAGAGCCAAGAGATTTGCGAATTCACCTGGTGGAACCGTCGAATGGTCTTAGATAAATCCGGAGGTAGACTGGGAAATAGACCTTCATGATGGATGCTTCGGGACGGGCCATCGATTGTTATCTTACCACGCTGCCGGGCAAGGGGCAGTACCAGATGGCGCAGTGAAACCTCGTTGGAGATTGATAGCATCTCCGAACTTGAATAGATCTGCTCTTATTGACCAGTCAATCGCGAAGAAGCCCGGCGACCTCCGACCGACTCTTGCTTCACATGCTTATAAACGAGAAGCATTAGCAGCGGTGCCGGGCAAACAGTTATCATCAAACGCCAGGTAGTGTGCCTACGACTTCTCTGTCCAACCAAGCTTTCACGCCGAAAAGCTTTCATGTTGGGACCATTCATGCAAATTTAATTTGTCAAGGTGCACCAGAAAGCTACAGCCAATTGGGGGGGCACCAGTGGGGACAATTCTGCAGATAATCGACACATGTCTAAACAAACTTGGTGAACGCTTTAAAATCTATACTTTCTGAAGGTCTTTAAGTATCTTTAAGTGAGGTAAGTTAAAAGTTTCAAGTAAAACAATCCTGACTCAACTGCCAAGGATTCTTCAAGCCCCCCTACACGAGGCTTAGGGCTTAAAGAAACATCTCTCTAACCTGAAGAGTTTCAGAGACTGACGATCTCCAGTCCTGCACCTGTTCGTAGTGGATGTGGTAGTTATCCACATCCGAGGCAAAGAAGTACGTCATCTCAGCGGATATGAAACGGTATGTGATAGTGTGTGTGGCCGACCTCTGTTGTCAATCAGAATGTGTGTGTGTCAATCAGAATGTCCGACTCCGTGTCCCATTCAAAGGTGCACTTTCTGTGTGGGCGCTCTTTCTTCGCATGGGTTCCACTGGAAATGGCGCATGCGAAGAATGGATTTACTGTATTCAGCCCTTACATTGACTCTCCGAAAAAGAATCAAACAAGCAGCCCTTCGAGCAGTTGGAGTGTCACAGCATCATAAAATGTCAATCATTTGGAAGGCACGAAGAATGGCACCCACCTCTCTTCCAAATAAGCACCCGAGCCAGCGTTTGCAGGAATATGCTGGACTCCTGCAAGTAGGGGGATCACCAATAGCTTATTATTCTTAGACCATCACTTGCCGCACGTGCCGTTCCCAAAACAGAAGACAGATTGGCCCGAAAACCAGCGGATTGGCTGATTTTGACCGTCCCCTGCGACCACTGGGTTGACAGTGCGCCAGGCTGGTCAGTGATCGTTCACGGAAACTCGCTCCCTTGCGTCATCCACTGTTTGATTTCTTCCCCGAGAAGCTACCCCCAACAAGATCAACTGTAGTAGCTCCAAGGTGCCAACATGTGCCAACACCCACTCAAATGGCTCATAGGTGATCTGAATTTGCATCAATACTATACCTGGAGTCTCCAAGTATATACCTTGGACAATGGATACAAGTACCTCTTTTGGTTGGGGTCATGTCCCATTTTCGAGGGTACTTTTGGAGGGTTCAGGTATGCAGCATAGATCCCTTCCCTGATTCATCCCAGATGCGATGCCCGGCACCACTTTCCGAATGGTGGCCACTCGGTGGCCTCGGTAGAAAAAAACAAAAAACCGTGTTTTCCGTCAATGAAGGCAGTGGCGAAGCAAAAACATGCAAGAGAGACCCCAGAACTGGGTTCAAAGTTGCCATCGGCAAGCTGTGGAGTATCCTGTGAGCATCCTTGCTCTCCCTGCTCTCCCTTTCTCCTCTCAACATCGCAGCTCTGTACCGTCAATGTTGATTGGGCAGCGATCGCAGCGATCTCTCATCCGCGCCTGTGCGTGCATCCAACACGTCGAAGTGGAGCTCCGAACAGGGGCCGCACGGCAGGGAACACCTGAAACATGGCGCCGGGCTGGTCAGGTTGGCTGGGTGAAGGGCATCGGGGGGTTGAAGGTGGTGTTTGAGGGGCGACATTGGTCATGGCACCGGAACAGCCTGGTTGACCAACAAGAATGAACAGAATAGACTACCTGACATGGTCAACCTACCCTGGTGTGGCCGTAGCCGTAGCTCCATCTCCGCTGTCGCTGACCTGATCATGTCCAAAGCCAGCCGAACAGAAGGACCGATATCTCTTTCTTGGATTGCTGACTTGGTTGGAGTTGCAGGACAAGTACATGAGCTGTAAAGACAAAGACTATACCGACTATACCTGTACCTTCAATCAAGGGGTTTCCAATGGAGATCCCTAAGCAGTGTAGGGGGCTTGCTGACCCCTTTGAAGGTGCTGCTATGATCAGTGTTGCGAAAATCCGGCTTTGGACGTTTGGAGCTCATGTGATCGTTGCTGTGGGTCATGGCACCAGGGTCTCCCATGTTGACCTACCAACGATACGACCCGCGGACTCTGTCTGGGGTGGGGCGCGGGAAACCACCCAGGTGTCTGGGAGTGTGGTATGTATGAAGGAAACTGTACAAAAGACCACAGGGATGATGGGAATCCATGTGAATTCAACCTAATTCGGTGCCATCGGAGGACGTCACAAATCCAAGTCCTCACCGTTGGGTAAAGCTAGATGTTGGGGCTCCAGCTTTCGATCAATCGCTCGCTGGCCTTTGAAAGGTCCAACGGTTCAACACTGCAGCATCCAAAGATGTCTGGAGTGGCTGACCCAGAGACATGCTCCTGAAAGAGGAGTATGTCACGCATCCCGGGAACAGACATGCTCGTGACTGCAGATGCCGTTTCCCTGGAAAATATTGGGTTACTGTAACCTTTTTATCCACCCTGTTCTGGTTTAGAGGGGAAACTATTCCTAGGGCCCTAAGAAAGGTTTAAAGGTTATCAACTTTTCCGACAGGTAGCTTCGTCTGTCGGTTTTTTTGGCAGGTCGCTTCAAGCCATGAACCTCCCAAACTTGGTTTTTGCTCAGTCACCGGTGGCTCGTCGCGTAACCTCAGTAGCCTCCCAACAAACCCGTCCATCTATCCGTACCTCCGTCCGTCCAATCCATTCCTCTGTCACAAGCAACCTCCCAAGCGTCGGACACCAAAACCGAGATCCAAAGCCCACATGGAACATGGAAAAAGACATAACTTTCATTTAAACTTTCCATGTTTGCACTTGCCTAGGTCATTGAACACGCAACCCCACATGGAACAAAACCGCAAAGGACATCCGTTCCATTCCCAGAGGCCACACCGCCGGCTGGCAGCAGCCGCCATGGACTTCCAAGACCTGGTCGGGTTGGAGCGGCTGGGCCATTTGGTCGATCAGCCAACAATCATGAACCATGTATTGAGGGTATCATGTAAGGTTGAGGGTATCATGTAAGGTTGAGGGTATCATGTGAGCAGCGGACAAAGTTACTTGTGTAGCCAAATACCATTTGACATGATTATCGTTTTTTGGTGGGGTCCATATCGTTCTCCAATGTTTCTCCAAACCGCAGTTAGCATAGCATACCGGCACATAGACTAAAACACAACATATAACTCACAACCTCAGATTAGAGTCTTAGAGGCTTGCAGTGCTTTCTGCACAGGAATGGCACAGCGCTTGATTTATGTACTTGGGTTCTTGTGGCACTGGGCTGTGCAAGGATCACAACACATAAGCGGGGACCTAGTAGCTGGGCCCATGAACAAACACTAGTCACTAGTAATGTGGAGAAGTAGGTCTACGGAGTGACTGGCGTGACATTTAGGTTATCGTTTGCTTATCGTTTGGATTATCGTTTGGGAAGTTGTCTAGGGTTATCATTGGTGAAAGAAAAGTTGTGCCCATCGGTTTAGTTCAAATATGCACAAATAAACACGCAAATGCAATAACATATTGTAACCACAAACGTCTTTGTACCCACTACAGTACGTCTTAACGAAATTATCGTTTTTGGTGGGGACCATATCGTTTTCCACAGAAACGAAGCCCTCAACATAGGTTTAGGGTCAAGCCGTGACTAAATAAGTCAACCAATAATTTTGTCCGTCGCTCATGTAAGGTTGAGGGTATCATGTACTCAACATGCATAAAACTGTAAAGGTTTTGTCAGGACCATCGTGTCTGGGTGTTGAATGGACTACCCTGTACTGCTTACAAATCTCCACTGGACGCCCATTGGATGGTCCAGGCATATGTCCATTTTCCCTGGCAAAAAGCCAACAAAGGGTCTTCGAAGTGACAGTAGTGAATAGTGACACCACAAACTGCAAAACATAAGACACAAACATGTTGTTGTGTTTCTTGCTGCAACAATTCAGATAATTCAGAACGCTGTTTGCAAAGTCCCAACATTGACCAAAAAACAGCTGTTCAGCTGTAAATGAATATGAACAATGGAACAATCTGAAAAAGAATCTTGAACATGTGCAAGTTTGTGCAAGCAAACATAAATACACCCTGAAAGTTTAAGATGGAACCTGAAAAAACACTAGTGTGTGGAGGAAGCTAGTCTTCCAAAGGTCCATTCACAAGTTCCATGTTAATCCCACCGGGTGCATCTAGTGTTCTGACTTCACCACAGTTCCATATCTACAAAATGTTAAACATACAATAATTGTTCAAGGACTTCTGTTTGATAGAACTGCTGAACACACTGCATGAATCCTTCCTTCTTCGTCAAACAACACATGTTTGTCCTTTCGGGGAATCGTTGAAGTCGAATGCCGCACGACACAAGAAAAAACATGACTAAGGACAAATAATGAAATGGCTCTTTCCACATACAAAAAAATGGTGGGGGGATCGTGCAAAACTCGATGCTTGTCTTTTTCGCATGTCTGACTTGCTCAGCTTCCGCATCTTTGTGTGGCATCTTCCGCCGAAACACCGCGCTGTCGTAGGCATCGCGCAGTTGGAAGTTGTAGTTGCAGCAGCGCCAAGGGTCCCGGAATGAACCTCGGTTCGTAGATGGAAGGACACATCCAGCGGCCCCTTTTTAAGGCCAAACAAAGCCTGAAAAGGTATGTGGATTTGCGGGGAATGACTCACTCATGTACTGTTATTGTTTGGTAGTGAGAAAGGTCAAAACCTACACCAGTTTGCCATACAGCCTGTATATAACCACCCAATCCAGAAGTAGTCTGCGAGGCCTACCCAGCTTCCAGGAGTTCATCTAGCACCTGAGGATGCCCCTCACTGTGAATGCTGAATGTTCCTAAAAGCAGTTTTCCTGCCAAGCAGGCGGAATGAACCCCCGTGCATGTCGAGCGTTGCAACAACACGAGAGTCCCACGCAAATGTCCAACCCCAAATATGGAATAGTTTTACTAACAAATTGATGTATTGCACCTATAAATAAACCTCCCTTTGGGTGGTGTTGGTTAAGGGTTGTAAACGGGGTGAATGTATGTAACTATTCTAGATTCTATGCATGGACGATGCTCTCAAAACAGTTCCGGCCGTCGCTGAGGCTGTGGTCACTGTACCTGTGCTCCGTGCTGCTGTTAAATGATCTGCGATTTCACTGGCTTGTCCCACAGGCGGAGTAGGGATAGTGGGCTGCACGAGTGACTGGCTGCAAAGGAAAACAAGTGAACCAGCTGCACAAAACATCTTTGAGTACGTAGTCCCTTTCTCTGTGGTGATTGTGGATATTCGCACTCCCACCAGGAGAAAAAGCAACACCTAGATAGATTGGAGCAATATTTCTTGAAATCCAGAGACAATATGAAAATACACAAATTCTTTTTTTCGGGGTTCATCTAGAGCTTTCGTTTCGCTTTCTCAAAACAGTCTTGGACTCCTAGGGCCATGCCCGGGCACCCCGATGCGATTTGCTCAGCCGCCGATCTTCTGCTTCGTCAGGTCGTCAAAGACCTGCGGCGGGTTCCGTCGTCGGCGAGACACCCGGGGGCGGGTTCCAACGATCGAGATCCGAACCGAAACACTCCAGACGGCCCAATGAGACTGCCATCTGGCCGATGTGAAATCCGATTAGAAAAGGGGGTCAATGTATAGTCAATGTAGACATATACATGCTAGTCCCAATACTCCAACTTTCAGTTCAATTCCTTTCGGCCGAACTAATTGTGAACATTGAGATTTCGCCAAGAAATCGCAAAACCGAATGGGTTCACCCACTTCAAGCCACAGACCCCATGAGGGCAACAAAATTAGGAAGACATCCAACATCTCTTTTCAATGCGAGTGACTCGGGTGGTGTTCTGGGGCCCCTCCAGCAACTTGGCTGGGGTAGAAGAAGCAAGTGTTTCACTGGAGGGATTCATCACAGTCCGTTACTCAGTCCGTGTTTGGTCAACATTCTCCTTGACCAATCACAGGAGTTAGATGGAATTTGGTTTGACTTTAAACAATGTGTGTGTGTGCGCGTGCGTGCTTTACTTGTTGAACTGGAACTTTACCTTGTTCCTTTTCAAAGCAGAATGACCTGCTAGTTGAATGGTGAGGACAGATTCCAAACAAACATGCAATTGCAATCCTTCATGGAGATAAGTCTCGGTAGTTTAAACAAAACATGGGTTTGAAGTCCACATTTCCTACTACAGTAAATGGATCTGAATAGATCTAAAATGATCTAAATAGTCTAGTCCGGGTGGTTTGCGGCAGAAGAATACTCTTCCACAAACAACGAACAGTGGATCTCATGCCCTTTTGGAAGAGAACAACAAAACTTCAACGAATCTTGCTTCAACAACCTGTAACCCTCCTACTTCAATCAATCCGAACTCTTCTCTGGCCGATGTCATGCGGCCCAGGCGCCTCTGCCGTGGGTCGGCACAAGCAGCAGCACACACACTGCATCGGCCGCCGCATCGACAAGAAGCTGCGGCCGGCCGACCGTTGGACGGTCGGACCGGACCCACGGTCCGGCTCATCCGGGACGAGTGAGGACTCAACAGGGACGTCCCTGGTTTTGATGGTTTCCAAACACGTCCGGAACTGCCGGAACTGCCTGCCAATCAAGACAATGGTGGTTGACCGTTTTTTTCGACTTGGTTTTCCTGGAGGTCAGGCCAGGGGCAGCCAGCCTATGGGGCCGATGCTAGTCGACTGGAGTGTCTGGGATCCTGGAGCTGAAAAACTGTGGGTCCCCTCCCCTCCCCTCCCCTGGGTCTCCGGAAGAATCTCCATTGATCCAAGAGTGGAACATTCGGTTGGGTTGCTGGTAGGTCCAGAGCGGCCTGTTGAACGGTGATGTGCGACCTGTTTGACCCGACGTCTGAGGGACCAACGAGTTTGATGTCAAAGGAGTTTGTCCCAAGGCTTGAAGCCGCTGTGATGCATTGGATACCTTGGATGCACTACAGTAGATTAGATGTACTGAAAACACCACGCTCGATGTCGTTCAAGTGGCGTTTTCTTCATCGAGGGGAACGGATGAACAGCCGGATGCCAAAACCAAAGAACCAGTGTTTGATACTAGACATGATTTGATCACCCAACAGAGTCAGGATTGAGAAGGACAAAAGTCAGTGTAGGTCAACATCACAAAGATCAGTTAGTTATATATATTATATAACTTATATAACATTAGAACTATATCTTTGTGAGTCTATTAATTGGATGTTCATCTGTCACTCTGAGTGGTTTGCCACTGCAAGACATGCTAGCAACACGTTTATCGCCATGTGACATGATGGCTCAATCAACGGTCACGGCAACGCGACAGGCGAGTTCGTCAAAACGGCCTCTGCATATACTGTCCAGGAGGAGTGTGTAAAACATCCACTTCCCAACTGGCACCTGGGTCGCGTTTCGCGTTGCGCGTGCGTTGCGCAGGTCCGCGAGGTCCGCGAGGTCCGCCCCGCGAGCCGCTAGGCTGCTTTGGCTGGGCGCAGGAAATACGCCGTAGACATCTCACGCATCTCACTGACATATCCGGGCTGAAACTGCCATGTTCTCCCGCTGGGTGTTTGGAGGGGCCTGGAGGCTTCTTTTTGTTGAAGACCAAGGAGCCGGATGAAATGACATGACACATTGCTGCAGACGCTGCAGTTACACATTTGTGGGGCACATTGATCTGTGAAGTATCCACCATCCATGGGACTGGCATATTTACATCAGTTGGGGTGGTTGACCTGGGGTGAATGGCCGTGTCATGTCAGTCCCGTCTGGGTCGTGTCGATTCATCGGCGCCTGACGCGTACCTCGGTGGTCCGGTCCAGTGCTGATCAAACGGAGACGTCCAGTGCGCACTCCGGTGAAGCCACCGATGGGTTTCAAGCTAACATGGCTAAAATCCTCTTGCAAGCTGGTGGGTGTTTCACTGATCCACTTGATATCACTTGGAGTTGAAGTTCATTCCACCCAAGCACACTCATGCAAGCACGTCCTCTGCAACTGCCGGCGGCAGCAGTCCGTCCTGGTGCGAGACTCGCTGAACAGGCCGAAGAACAAGGGGTCGATGTGACTCACATTGGTCGGTGCCACAAACAGGACTCGCCCATAACACAAGAACTCCAACAGAACCCACTGTACTTGGTTCTTCCTCATCTTTTGAAGGCGGCTCTGTTTTTAAGGCGGCTCTGTAAGTCAACACACATGGGTTCAGGTGACTCTCTGTCTCGCCGAATGGATACTGTATACCAAATGCAGTGGCCATATGTCCAAACAAGAGGCTTTATTCGGAAGTGTTCTTTGAACTGTCATAGATTTCTCATGACTTTGTCTTGGGCTCAACTGATTGATCGCTCCATGGGCCTCCGGTGTTAACATGTGTTAACTCTCCGTCTCGTCGATGTGAACGGTGGATCCGCCATTCGTCTCGTCCACGTCCGCTTCCGCCCCCACGAGTTCGGCTGAACCGCCGGAGACGGTTTTCCGCCGAAGACGGGTACTCCTCTCAATGGCATAGAAGAGCTGATTGCCAATCCGGTCTTGGACCGAATATCTGTTCCTGCAGAAAACTGCTTGTGGTGTGGGGGAGTTGGTTGAATGGCAACGTGAAGATCTGCTACTTCGGTCGACCGGCAGGGGGAGTTGAATGGTCGACCTGCTGCTTCGCCACATCGATGTGGCATCGCATAGCATTTCTCGAATCGGTGTAGCAGGACTGGTACACTCACTAGAGACCTGACCTCTTTGCCGTCTGCCTGATTTGCCCAACCCCGAGTGAACAAGTGCTTCTCAGCGCTTTCAGCTGACAACTGTGCCGGATAAGGAATGTTTTCAACACAACCAACCAGAATACCGCCGACAAGAATGGAAGGATTGCTGGCAAACTCTTTCAAGTGATGGCTAAGAGATGCCAAGAGGGTTGTTGCAATGAATCACGTTCCACGCCAATTCTGTCACTGTGGCTGAAGTTTCCACACGCATCAGAACAGGTTCACTCGACATGTCCCCGACCTTGTTGATTTCTGTGTCTGTGCCAATGTTCATACGTGGTTCTTTGCCTAAGGAATCCCTGTTCTCTACTTTTGGTCCTCACATGTCCTCACTAATTATGGTAGGTCCCCAAATTCATAGATAGATAACGGTAGCTCATCTCTCATCTGCCAGCATTCTATGGCCCAAACTCCCAAAATCAGGTCTTCAACACATGTGACTTCTCTGTCCTCCAAGCACCGTCCACGAACACCGCCCACGAACACACCGAACACTGCCAACCGCCCCCCCCCGCTCCGGGTTTCGATCTCCGCGCCCAGGAAGGTGGTGACTTCTTGGAGCCAACTCACGCGCTCCTTCACCTGGCGTTCTGTGCGTTGTGGCGATCTGTGATCTGTGCGTTTCTGGGAGTTGAGCAAATATCCCAGAAAATGCATGGAACAAGTAAGAGATTCCCCGGACATTTGGGGATTTTACAACAGGGCAATCAAACATCACCTGATCCGGAAAACCAGGTCATTGGAGAAACTGCACATCGACGACTTGGATCCTCAAGTCTTTTTTTTTAGCAGTCCTCATTAACTTTGGATGCAAAGCAATAATATTGCCTTATTGAAAAGCGTAGGAATGTTCTCAATCAAAAGGAACGATTTCAATACTATTCTGAGCCTGGAAACATGTTTCAACGTATTTTGAGCTGGCAAGAAAAGATCAAACTTACTGAGTCGAGTCGAACTCCCAGACGTTCAGAAGTGGAAAGAACCTGACCAAACACAGCCACGTGCTTCCTCCATTGCTCTGAAGAACCAGCGGCAAAGCCTGCAACTCCTCCACTTGCTGCAGGAGAGCCTCAAAATGGATTGCCGGATTGCCATCAAAGAACTACCCTGGGAGCCAGCGGTTGCTCCTGTTCAGGGGTCAAGAAAGGAAGCCTTGGAAGCCCAATAACAGTTTTGTGATGCAGCTGCAGCAGTGCAAAAAGTATGGTTGCTGAGTTCTTGAGAATCTCTTCATGTGTCCATCAATTCCAGTGGGTTGGGTACGAGTAGCCGATGTTTGAGCCAGCAAGGCTTTCAGGGTGCTGTCAGAATAGAGAAAGCCCTAGCCAACTGATCCTTCTTCCCATATTTTCCTGATGAGTATAGCGGGGTGCAAAAAATGAACCAAATCGTTGATGGAACTCTCCATCCACCGTACCTTTTGAGCATCATCAGAACCTTCCCACAATATGGGTGGAAGAGGATACACAGCATGAAGATGCCAGGGTAGGTATGATGGGTCCGATGAGTCAAACCTATTTCTCAGAGAAAAAGAAGATCTGCGGGTCTGCGGATGATCCGTTGATCCAAGTCACAAAGCCCGGGGTGAACTCCATGCTCTGCTGCTGCGGTGCCAGTGGGGCAAAGAGCGCCATGGCGGAGGCACGTACTCGGGAGTAGCTCCGGATCAAGGGGGTAGGTACCCAGGCGGAAACCCCAAGCACGAAAAGGCTGGGGTGCAGCTGGCATTCATCTGCAAGCGTTTTTGCAGGTGCTCCTGGGTTTTTATGTGAAGTGATACCAATTCAACATGCAACTGCAAGCAAGGGGTTGATCAGATTGGTCCATTCAAGGATTTGCTCAAGACCATGCATGGAGCGTGGAGTTGGATCTTGGTTGTGCTTTTACTTCAAGGCACAAGGTTCTAAAGCAGCAGTGCCACGTAATATTTGAACAACGACGCAGAATGAGTATGAATATGCCATTCACAGGCTGACAAAGTTCCAAGCAAATTCCCGAAAGTTAACTAAGTGAACCCTGAGAAACATGATCGAACACGTTGGACCCTGAGACATTTTGGATATGATCCCTTGGGTATGCAAGCTAAGTGTAAAGCCACAACTTTTGGGAGAATGCGACGGAGCGCGGTGTGGCGGTGCGGCGGGATGCTCCCAAAAGCGTGGAGGAACCGCACTCACGGACCTTCTGGAAAAGACCCTTTTAGCTCACTGTTTACTCCATGTTTCTGCTCAGAAAACTCCGCGACATCCGGTTAAAACAAGATTGGGTTCTTGAAGGCACTTGACATTATATTTGGAAAACAAGGTCTCCAAAAAGATCCAGCACCGTGGCTGGATCACTTTTGGCCGATGCTGTTGGTGGATTGGTCGACGAACCATGACGTGAGTGTGGTCCTAAAATACGCCTATCCAGGATGATCCATATCATTCTCTCCAACGGACCATGGGAATTGTCGGAGCATGCAGAAGCTGAACTGACTTGCCGGGCTTGGTGAGGGGTTGGACGATGGGCTTGACAGTTACCACGATGGACTGCGAATGGACTGCGAATGGAACAAGCAGTGATATGATGTGACATAAAAATTCACATGGCAGAGTGGGAGTGAGAAACCTGTGGACTCAATTGGCTTGAGTTCTATGGAGTTGACTGGCCTATATTGGGTATACGGCTCTATACGGATGTCTACGGGTCCCTCGGGACGCCCAGCATGCCCTCCAGTGACATCCACGGGGGCCCGGGACGGTGGAGTCCGATCCCCACGGCGCCCGCATCGCCCAGCATCGACAGTGTCGGGCCTGTTGCTTGGCTTGTTGCTCTTCATAGGCATCTGGCTGCTTCAACAAAGCGCCCACTGGGTCTGGCCTGACGTTTTTTTCACCAAACGAGCGCGGGCGAGTGACGTCGACCAAGGAAGTTGTTGGACCCCTGCAGGGGCGGTACGTACGAGTTCGGCTTGGTGCCATCTGAAAGAACTGGCGAACAACTAGCAAGACTCCAGAATGAAGCTAGGAACCTCTTGGGTTACAACCTATAACGTATATACAAGGCATCCAACAGACTCCAGCAAGGGAGACTTGATCGTCTTCCAAACCTCTTCTTGGATTCTCGTGTTCAAACGTCAACGTCTATACTTGGTGGTGTGTGACTATTCACTTCTGCGATGTGGACCGGCCCAAGTCATTCACACATATGTTACTACTAGCGTGGCACTTGTTCCTAGTAGCTTCTTGTTACTACTAGTAAGGCACTTGTTACTACTAGTAAGGCACTTGTTACTACTAGCGTGGCACACTGTCACACCTCAAGAAACATTTCACTCAAAATCACGCAGTCAACCACCCGATGACTCCTACTGGCCAATCGACCATCGAAAAAAAAACTGTGTCCAGTTCCTCCAGTTCCATGCACCACACTTCCCCACGTCAATCACCCTCCATCCGCTCCATCCATGACCAAGCCACTGATGGTTCAGAAGCTTCGGCTGCTCCTGGCGGCCACTCGCTCGGCTGGCTCCGGTCTCTGTCTGCGACCCCCGGGACGGACGAGCGCGACACGAGCGAGCGAGCTTGACACGGCCCATGTTGGGCAGTGAAGTTGACCTGGGCGATCAATAAGAAGAACTGCGGCATTTTGGGGTCCCAAAATTCGTGACATCAAGATCACTGGACCCTGTGGAACAACATGGAAAAACAAAAAAACTAGCAGTTCACAACCACTCACCTATTCAAGTGCCATTTACGATCTCCAGTTTGGACATCGTTTTTGGAGCTCTGAGCTCGAGTTGGCGTTTTCATCCCCTCTCTCACTCACCGCCATGATGCGCTTACGCTTACGCCCCGAACGAGGAGCACTCCACGAATTCGGAGCCAACCGAACAGCTGCCTGACGAACACTCTGACGCAGCCACCGTCACATGGGTTTGCCGTGAATGGGATGGGAACATCCAGGTGGGTTGACCATGTTCCGAAGACCAAACAGGGTGCAGTCGTTTGTCCCGCGTGTCGCGAATCGGAGTGGAATTCAGCTTGATTCCCTAAGTTACCCCCTTCAAAGTCCCTAAACTTGCCCCATCCACCAGTCGATGTCACTGAACCCATCCACCAGGCGACTCTGAAGGGGGGGGTCGATCGAGGCTAGCAATAGGCACGTTTCTCTGCATCGAACTTCTTATTCACCCTGAACTTCATAAGCGAAATGTGCGTCGAGTCATCTCTCGGATAAAGCTGTACATCGAAGGAACCGTCGATTCTGCCCTCTTCCTCCATCTTCACCCTCCAGAGGGCTCGACTTGGGTACTGGAAGAGTGTGCATACGGCGCCCCGCAAAGGCGGAAGTTGGGTGATGTGTACAGTGCAGGACGTCCCTGAGTCTTCGAAACGGTGGAAACGAGTGCTACTGATGTTCTGGTGCAGTCCTGATTTCTCCAGGAATACTGAAGCATTGCATCTTTGGACTCTCTTTGGGGATCCTCTTATTACATCTTACTATCTTGACCTCTACTGTAGCACCCAGAAAATGCTTGAACGCCCGAGTGTACACCATCTTGACCGCCAACCGTGACCAGCAAGACCACCCAGTCCACCCCGGTTCTGTCTGATCCGCAGCTCCTGTGTCGTCCCAGGTGGTTGTACCGGTGCTTTCACTGCTTTAGGTTCTGGCACCGGGTGCGCAAAGGGTGCGCAGCGCTGCGCAGCTGTTGGACTGAAGACCCCGGAAGGAACGGTTTCGATGATGGCCTCTGGTTGTGTGGAGCGATAGAGCCTCCACTCGGACATGGCAACAATACGTGTTGATGACTGTTTTATGGAAGACCCCTGATGTTTACTTTGGGATATCAATTTGAATCTATAATGGCGTGCGGCTTGGAGATCTGGGACGGCACGGTTGGATCAATGATGAAGGTTTGCTCCCAACCAGTGTCCATCAAACCATCACTTCAAGAAACAAAGCATCCTTTTTTCCGGGTGGCGCCTCGAAGAGAGTGGAATCTCAAACGCCAGAGTGGCAACAAAAAGCATCTCAACACGGACTTCCCAGCAAACCCTCTACACAAATTAATATCCGCTTCTGTTCAAACACTCTTCAATCACAGTTTCCATAGATTCCCAACATTTCTCAAATACCTCTCCCCTCAAAATCCCTTCTTCCCCACCATTTTGCCTCACCCATCTCACCATCTCCAGCCACAGCTCTGATTCGCCGCTTTTTCCCTACTCGGGCAGCGCTGAAACCGGCGCCGCTTCTGCTGGCGCCGCCTGATGACGCGGAAAACGTCAACCCCTGGTGATGCGGGTCCGGCCTCGTGGTCGAAATCGTTCAAAAAGGGCCCTGGGTGGGGTCCAAGAGATTGAACAGGTTGGTGTTTTATTTCACCCCATTAACACGTATCGACCCATGCTGGACCCATGCTCCATGTTTTCTTGGGATAGGACACCTCCAAATATGGGTTTGGTTGTCTATGCTTCGCTACTGGGCACAACGTTTGAGCCCTTGGGTACCACTACCTTTGCCAGGTCTTTCTGGGGGGCAATCTAGTCCCACCCGCATTCAAGGGTCTTTTCCGCGTTCCCCTTCCACTGGCAAGCACCATGACCGATGAAAAACATCACCAAAAAACATCAAAAACACCGGCGGAGGCATGCTAGGCTGACACCAGTTATTTTTGACACCATCAACCTTACCTGAGATCAAGAGCAGGGGGCCACCTGCACGCTTAGCAGGTCTAGCCACTGAACCCGCCTCTTGCGACACCTTCGCCAGCATCTCCTAACACAAAGCAATGCAAGACCATTACCTGCTTTAGGGAGGTTTTGTGAAATACGTAAGATATACAAACATACAGAACTACCTATCCATCTCTTTAGGATTAGTTGATTTCCAGTGACTCCTTTCAATACACAGAAGCGGGAGTTAGTGTGCCACACATGTCGCGGCACCACATCTGCTGCCAAAGAAAACTTAGCTGGACCTAGCCCACTGCAGTACTGAACACAGCAACCAGCATACAAAAAAGATGCATGAGGAGCTATCTTGCTGTGGCATATACAGTAGATGGTATGTTAGATAATGCTGAGTACAAAGCCAACGCTGCAATCTTCTGTCTGCAGCCTCTGGAGTTTGGTGCCATCCACTTCTAATGACTCGGATAGTAGATCCCTGGACCCTAAGGCGTTGCCGGCCTTGGACCCACAGACTGTGCTCTCTACGATATCTTGGATTTGATGCCCAGGAATGAGTGAGAACAACACAGAAGGAGATTGACCTCAATATTGGCAACATCACAACCACCCGCTGCAAGAGCCCGTCTCGCAAGGGGACGGAGAAATGCTCCTCCAACGCCTTGGTACAATCCTGCAGCACCTGCCGCTGTCCATCGCGGTAGCGCGCAATGTACCTGGAGAACATGAGGATCGGCCCAGCTGGGCGGGCTCAAAATGATGCAGCAGTTTCTGCAAGTAGTGTCAACCAAAGACCCCATAGAGTCCCAACGTGTTCCTGATGTCGTAAAAGGAGACCAAATGATTTTTTGGGGAGATCGAGACCGGGATGCATCCGGTTCTGGAACAAAACAGACCCAGTCCGTGGGGCTACATTGTTTTGAACACGTATAAAATACCACTCAAACTCAGACCCATGTGAGCTTTTCACCTTGCTTCTGGGGCTAGTGCTAGCAAAAGCAGTTGGGGTCATGAATTATATAGGTTCAAACACTGTAAAACAAATGTCAGTGCCACTGTTCAAATCCCAATGAATGGATTTGATGGATTTGATCAAAGCAACTCTTAAAGACAAATGCCTCAAGTGCTTCTCTTCTTGCTCTCGGTCTGAACTGTGCTTTGTCAACAAAACCCGGAACCCCCCTCTACCCTTCACCGTGTCCTACTACACATTGAACCAAACCCACACCTTCGCCCTCCCGGTCCACAACTCTTCCACCCACCTCGCCTGATGCGCACGTCCACATCGCCTGCCTCCGCAGCACCTCCAGCCGCGAAGTGTCGGTCCCTTGTCTGCGTGGCTTGGAAGTCCTGGCGGCAGCGCGCCGACGGAGAGGTCTCCGACGGCGACCCCCGCGCCCGACGGAGCGACGACGACGTGGGAAAGCGGCCGATCTCGGCGGAGCGGTGGGGAGGAAACGATTTGATTGGTGTTCTCTTGCATGCAGTCGGTTGAGAGTATAGACTGAGCCCAAAAAACATTTATGATGTCTTCCACTAAATTTTCTGGCGTGGTTTTGTTTTGTTCATGCTCTTTCAGATCCACGCTGTGCATCCAAATTCAAGGGGTCAAGCCCAAATTTGACTTGTTCTTCAAGGGTTCAACTCCATCCTGCCCATTCTTCCATGGGTTCAACTTCTAAATCCCGTGGAAGGTTCGACCTCCAATCCCTTCAAAAGAACGTGCAGATCTTTCAAGATGTGAAGGTTCAACCCATTCTTCGGATCTTCATTCAACTTCAAATCCCTTCAGTTCTTCAACCTCCGAAACCTTTCTCCGCGCCGCTCCTCGAGCCGCTCTCGTAGGAGCTGGCTCAGGGATCTGAGGGCCAGGGTCAAGGTGGAGACTGACGGGGATTGTGCTCCAGAGTGATCCTATCTATGACATGTTTTCCTACTACCCAAAACACTTGTGTTTCTTTTTTAACTTTTCTGACCTTGTGTCTTTTTGGAAACCATCTTTATGGTCTGATACTTGGAGACTGCAGGGAGCATTTTACACACCCGTTTAGGGAAGTGTTGAATAATCTGGATGCCAGGAAGGTATAACAAAACAGTCAGGTGTACAGTGTATAGACATCATATATTTAGTAGGCGTATACACCGGAGTGCCCAGCATATAAGGCACACATGTCATACATCGAAACTGAAGGTTAAAGAAGAAAACACACACACAAACAAAAAAAACATAACATAATAACACAACATTATAGTCGAATGAGAGTACTGTAGATGGCACAATCCCAAAAGAAGGTTTATATGGACCCCATCTGAAAGACATCTTGGGGTGCCAGTGCGATCAAACTCTGAAACCACTGTACCTGACCGTACCTGCACCTTTTCATTTTTTTTGCAGATCCGGTCCAGCGCTAATTGAGTTGGTGCAAGTTTCGGGGGGCGACCTTCCAAACCTTTAGAGGTTTGAGGAAGCGTCAGAATGTTTAAATATAATATGTTTAAATTCACCGCTGCAAGACTACGGTTCAATTCCCAAAAAATCAATGAGTGCTTGCCAAGAGCCAGTTTTGAGGAAGCGGGGCCTACTAAATGAGGCACAACAGGCCCAAAAAGGGTTCCCAAAGCAGCTACCAGCTGGTGATTGCACTTGGGTCAAAGGTTCATGGGTCCCAAATGATGTTTGGGACGTAGAACGCCAAAGCTTTCAGTCTGAAGTGGTCACTTGCAGCCTACACGCCAGCAAACTGAAATGCATCCCTGCACGACTGTTCTTTTGTCCAAGTACAATACAGTTATATGATATGGCTATACCGGGTATACCTCTGACAAATATGTTCGACCTGGGCTTCGCCCCCCCTTGCCACGCCTCAAATGCTCATTGCCGGCCGAACCCGCCGAGAGCGCCTTGAAAGCGAGCACCCACAACAGGACCCACAGGAGGGAACATGAACCCTGAGCCCAAACCCACTCCTGTTTGTCATGTTCTTGCACTTCGTGGAACTCACAGTGCATGGAAGTGGTGAAAGATCCTTCGAAGACCATGTTCATCCATGTTCCGAGCACCAAACAGCTGGCTTTTCCACTTTCCAGGTGAGTTCCAGATGCGCATCTTGGTCTATGTAAGGCCGGAGGGGTCACCCTCTCTTCGCGCGTGGCGGTCATCCCGTCTCGTCCGTGTCAGATCAGCGGAGCGTTTTTGGTCTCGATCTCCTCCAACGTCCGTGTTGTTTCCTGACCTCACGGTCTGTCTTGGAAGTTCATGCGGAAACCTCCTCCTACAACTACACCATTCCGTCTTGTTCTTTGAGAAACATCTACCAGCCACCACCAGGATGTTTGATCTCAGATAGCTTTGATTGCATATAGCCATCTAACCGAATCTAACCATGTGTTTAAAGACTTGGCCACCGATGTGCTGAACCTTCTCCTTCGGCCACCGGAGTGCTCAGCCTGCCACAACTCACTGGGGAACTCCTTCCACCTGCGAGGGGTGAGCACAGCCGCCACTCAGATCGATCCACGAAGCCCAGCTCGGTGGATCCATCGGAGAAGCAGCACAGAGTTGACACAGCACAGGAAAGCTGTTTGGGTCTATTCTATTACCAGGGCCCAGTGGATGATGGCTAGGTTGCAGGCAGACATGCAGCCCAGCTTTCTGTGGAGTTCCTTTCGCCTTTCGCATACTGCAGGCCAGGCATGCTCAGTAGCTTCAACCGCTTAACATCATGATGAATATACTTGGCTAATTTTGAGCTAGCACACTCATCACAAAGAGTCGTTACTCAGGTTGTTACATGCATAGCAGTTTTTTTAAGACATGTTCCCAATCTTTAGGAATACATTGCCAACACAGCTACTAGGCACATTACGGCATGGGCACAACCACACACATTATTAGGAAACAAGTCGCCTCATTGGCAAGAAATCACATCAAAGATCTTGAGACAACATGGGCGCCCTGCGTACAGCTTTGGTCAGCACACAAACACGGACTACAAAACACATCCATGAAGCAACCAAACCTCCAACATACCACACCGCATGGGCCCACTATATACAAAGCACACACTCTTTACAACATGATAATGTTAAGATCCCTTAGTAAACCACGCATCAAAAATAACATGTATTTTTTTGCCGGCCAGAAATTTGCAATACTACTTTTAATTGCGCCAACATCCAGACCCCAAAATGGATTTAAACAACTTGTTTATCAATATTAATTAACACCAATAAAGAAGCTATTTTGTCCTGCCAGAAAATTGCAATACTACTGTACTTTTAATTGCGCCAACAGAATGCTTTCAGACCTTTGTTTTTGTTTGATCTGTTTTTTCTCCTGTTGTGTGTTTTTATCTTTGACAATCAGATTTCCAACCACGTTGGCTAGATTATTCCCTTTATAAAGCCCTATTAAAGAAATTGAAAAATATGTTCAAAGGGGCACCCCTTTAGACTGCCACCCCTGCAAATAATAACCAAACCTACAATAATCATGCTTTTTGGTTTTGTGGCTTAAGGAAAAATGATCCGCAGCTGAAAGGCAGGCACACTTCATACTTCCACACTGCAGTCAAGGGTCAGGCTAGCGAGTTGGTTAATGAATAGAGGTCTTGGTTTCAGGTGTTTGTTTTCTGCTCCAAAGCTAACCTGACCACAATAGCAAGGAGTTCCATATTTAAAACCCAAGCTACTAGTACTACTAGCACTACTACCACCACTACCGCTACTACTACTACTACTATTACTACTACGACGACGACTCCTACCACTATTACGACTACTACCACTACTGCTAATTACTATTGGGTACTACTACTACTACTACTACTGACTACTTCCACTACGACTACTTCCACTTCTACTTCTACTACTACTACTACTACTACTACGACTACTACTACTACTACCACCACCACCACCACTACTACCTACTACTCTATCCCCTTTGCCAGATGGCCTGGAGAAGTTTTATATTGCGGTTTGGATTTTCACTAGCCCGAAAAAACTATTGTTTTTTTCATAGGTGGGGGAGGGGTTCATTAATGCGATGTTGAAATTACAAGTTATATAACATGAGTTAACTCAACCACCCAGTATACTAAATTCCATCAGCACCCCGCCATCATCCTTCAGCAGCTCCTCACTCAGCTCACCCCGTGCGCACGCGTTGCGTTCCGCGGAACCCGGAAGCCCCCGCGCCTGGCGTCGCTGCGGCGCAAGTGAAAAGGCCCCAAGCGCTCCGTGCGCACCGCCCTTGGGCGGCGAGCGAAGCTCCGGACGGCGGGGGGGCGATGCGAGGTGTGGTGGTTGGGGCCAAGGGACCTTAGGAAAGGGAGTTCTTTTCGATACATGGTGTCAAACAGGTCTGGTGACCTGAGCGATAAACACGTGCTGGAGGGTCAACGTCTCCCCATCGATTTGATATGATTTGGTGTTCTTCTCAACCCGATCGGGTGCTGAGCATGCACCATGAAAGGATCGATCCAATCAGGTGAGATCGATCCGTTGGTTGGTAAGTTGAATGGCCCCAGATCCGGCGCAAAGAACCCTGTTTGATTTGGCCTTGGAAATAGAAAGACTGAATGTGTCATTATATAAAGAGGTCTCAAGCAAACAATACAATGGGTTCACCATACATTTATAACCATAAATTATATATACACATACAATCACATCCATGCATCATCGAGGACCATCCATCATTCGCATCATTCACATGTCTGACTTGGTAGTTGGAATCCGCAAAACCCCAGCTTCGGCAGACCACATGCCACATGCACGCATCCGCTGGCACGGAAGTTACCGGTTTGGAGATTCGAGGGAAGGAGAGGGATTTGGATGGATTTAGTACCCAAACACAAAAGCTCTCCTGGGTGGTCCCTCAGAACCTGGAATCACAAGAGGCTTTTGGCTTTTGTGTTGGCTTGATTTTCTTGACCGTTTCAGCTGGCCCCGGAACGGTTTGAACAACTTTTGATGCGTTTCAGCTGGCCTACTTGGCACCAGCAAAGACTTCTTGCGCCTCTTAGAGGTTTCAGGAACAGAATCCATCCTTTTCTGATGAACTTTTTCAGGGTTTAGGCTTGTTTAGGGTTACGAGTCAAATGGCTGGACCCTGCATCCCCTTTTCGTGGACTGTGCCCACCGGCCGAAAACGCCGCCTGCGCCGGCGCTTCGCAGTGGGTTCGTCCGAGACTTTCACCGTGAGCCACAAGCCTGAAGCGAGGAGTGCCCTGGATGACCACCTGAGGAGTGCCCTGGGTGGTGGAAGCACAGCCGCGCGGTCAGCAGGTGGCGATGTACTCACTCTGAGTCATCTCCAAATGCGTCCGGGCTGGCGTGGTCCAAAGGCTGGTCGCTGGTTGAACTAACGATTTCATATTACATGAGGTCAATATGTTGTCGTGACTGGCCCAAAACACCAGTACAGGATTGGAAATAGATCTGACAGCCCAAACTCTGAAAATCAACATTGCAATAGTGATGCCCAGCTGCAAGCCTTTGAACACACAAATTTTCCCGAGGTGCAACACAGTGTTGCACACAGCCTAGGTCTCGGAGACACCGTCTGACATCACCTGTGAATGCAAACAACTCAAAGAGGTGGCTTCCTGGTGGGGGGTTCGCAGGGTTCAAATCCAGATCCCACGCACCATTGGCGTCGGCGCACCATAGGTGTCATAGAGGTTGTCGAGCAAGGCAAAGCCGTGGATCAGCATGAGGTCCTCGTTGCTCCTCAAAACAAACAAGTGATGAGATGACCGTCACCAATGGTGTTCACAACAACCAACGATAGATCATTGACCAGGTTTATATCTGTTCTGCTTCTGGCTTACTACCTGAGGGGGCATTAAACATAACTTTAACATCCATTCCCTATCTCCTGTTTTCTTGCCCAAATGATTGGCAGCTGCAAACCAGGTCGGAAAAACACGGAAAGCGGAGCAGCAACATTTTATTGCTGCAGGGTAGTCGGACCTAATTTGTTCACGGTTTTTACGGTGTTTTACGCACACTACGCAGAAGACCACCTGCCCAAGTCGAACGGCAGAGAAACCATACACTTGTCGGACCTAAGTCTGTCCGGCTTTTACGATGTTATACACACATGACGCAAAAAGACTACCTGCCCAAGTCAAACGGCAGAGAAAAAGCAGCCAAGTGGACGAACATCGCCGCAAAAAAGTAAAATAACAGCAGCAAAGCCTTCAACATAGATCCCACGGCCCCAATCACTTCCAACATACCTCCACGAGAAGCCTCAAGAATTTGGCGAAACGTGCCAACATGGAGAAGGATATGCCCTAAGAATGCACCAAGATCCCCGAAGATTGGCGCAAACATGCCCCAAATTTGACTGCCCATTCGGGCTAGCTTTCGTAAGCAACAAAAACGACAAAAAACTGTCAAAACCACCTTTCTTACACTTGTCGGACCTCATGTTTCATGGATTTATGGTGTTTTACGCACAGTACGCAAAAGACCACCTGCCAAGTCAAACGGGGCAGAGAAAAAGCAGCCAAGCGGACCAACATGGCCGCAAAACAAGTAACATAACAGCAGCAAAGCCTTCAACATAGCCCTGGTCCAACCCCACGGCCCCAATCACTTCCAACATACCTCCACGAGAAGCCTCAAGAGAGCCCCAACATTGGATGGAGTGCTCTAATATGGAAAAGGATATGTCCCAAGAATGCATCAAGATCCCCGAAGATTTTCACAAACATGCCCCAAATTTGACCGCCCATTGGAGCAAGCTTTCGTAAGCAACAAAAACGACCAAAAAACTCTCAAAACCACCTTTCTTACACTTGTCGGACCGCATTTTTCTTTTGTTTGTGTTTCACACGGACTACGCAAAAAACCACCCACCCAAGTCAAACTGCAGACAAGTGGACCAAAACAGCAGCAAAGCCTTCAACATAGCCCTGATCAAGACCACACGGCCCCAATCACTTCCAACATACCTCCACGGGAAGCCTCAAGAGAGCCCCAACATTCTTTGGAGTGCTCCAATATGGAAAAGGATATGTCCCAAGAATGCACCAAGATCGCCGAA